GAAACTCACATTTAATTAAGTTCAGGGCATTTTAAGTAACCAATTTTATATTTTTTTTCCCCAGGTAGGAGTGGCAACCGCTTCGATGATCGTTTATATTGCAGGCGTGAACCAGTTAAATGATGTTGAAATTGACAAGGTATTTGTACTTATTTTGCGCAGTAACTCAAAATAATTTAAAGTAATTTTGGTGAGAGTTTGCATGTATATTACATCCATGCGAATTGCAAATCCTGACATAGCCCTTCATATTTTTCTACTTTACATGTTTAGATAAACAAACCATATCTCCCACTAGCTTCTGGTGACTTCTCAATGGAAGCTGGAATAGCTATTACTTCTGCAGCTCTGTCGATGGTAAGCTACCCTCGAATGAGTCATGACAATTCTATATATAAGCTCATTCTGTTCCTAGTTTAATTTATTAATTGGTTCCATTTTTCAGAGTTTGGTTATGGGGATTATGTTATCTCCAGCACTTTTTTCTGGCATGTTAATGTTTGTCCTTAACATGACTATGCATGCAATTGATGTACGTAAGTTCTCTCTCTTGCCATCTGTCCATCCAATTTTTTTGAATGATTTATTTATTTTTTCTATAATTAATAATAAGTATTGGTTATGTATTGCAAAGAAGATAATAACAAAAACAAAATCATTGAGTTTGAGCTAGTTTGTTGGAGAGTTTAACAGGTCGGATTGGGAGCGCATGGATGAGAGAATACAAACACATATAAAGATACGTCATAGTCATATCGAGCTCAAAAAGCATATTTATCAAGTTCATGGGTCTTTTACATATTATATCCCACCTTAGTTTTCATCAATGTGAGATTTTTGCACATCACTTAACTCAACTCTAATGCACTTGTTGGGAGAATTTTAATGAGCTGGTTTGGAAGTGCACGGGTGAGAGCTGGAGTACAAACATGTATGAAGAGATGTTATATCAAACTAAAAAAATATGCTGTTCATGGACCTCCCACACATATATTATAGTCTAACACCTTGTTTCTTATCAATGTGGGATCTTTGCAAATCACTTAATTACTCAACTCCACTCACATGTTCATTTACTCCAACATATTTTGTATATATACTTAGGAAAATTTTGGCTTGCATGTATATATCTC